AGACGCAAAATGCTCTCAGAGATATCCTCGGGCATCCGCATGCAACACAGTTACCGGTAACGACGGAAGTCCCTTATACCGAAGACGATCAGCGGAAGACTTCGGCAAGTTGGCAACCGTACGAATGCGAATCGGTGACATACAAGCCGGTAACCGTTGGGTTGTTTCGTACTCGCCTTTGCTTTTAAAAGCAAATGCAGCTCACATAAACGTGAAAAACTGCAATTCCGGGAAATGAATTAGGTACATTTGTAAGTACGTGAATAAAGGCAGCGACATGGCCGTTTTCAGCCTGCAAAGCGAAAGGAGAGAAAGGGATGCGGGCATACAACTCGATGAAATCGTACAGTATTGGGCTGGAAGATGCGTCAACGGCAACAAATCCGTGTGGCGAATTCTTTCATTCCCCATCCATATGCAAGTCCAGGTGCTGCTCACTTGCGGTACACTTAGTGAACGGGCAGTGCGTTTAGTCTACCGATGCAAATGTGCAACAGGCCACCGGCAACACACATTAACTGCGTTCTTCCCGTTCCGCCAAATTCACGCGATTGTGAAAACCCTGCCGTATTCGAAAGTGCCTACAGGGAATGCGTGCAGAAAATCTTTTGTACGACGCAAACGAGAAGAGCGAGTGGACGGACACCCCGGCATATTCAGAAGAACCGCGATAGGCAAACTGTACAGCGTGCATCCCAATCAGGACGAACGCCTCTTACTCCGCAGGGTGTTGGTGAATGTGGCCGGTTCAACGTCTTTCCAGTAGTTGAAATCTGTCAACGGCGTTACGCACGCCACTTTTCGCAGTGCATGCCAGGCTCCCAATTTATTGGAAAACTACAGATATCGGGATGTATGTACTTGTGTTGCTTGCAACGCGTTCCATCCACATCGAATTCGCTCATTGTTTGCAATCTTACTGACCGCCTGCTCTACTTCATCTCCAACAAATTTGTGGAAGAAATATAAATCGCACATGGCTGAAGATACCTTCCGTCAACTATGCAAGGAAAATTCCAAATGCGGATTTCACAGCAGGAATCTACGCCGAGGCGTTAATAGTGATTGGGGATAAGTACGTAAGAATTTCCGAAATCAATTCCGAGTCAACCGGGAACGTCCTCATCAAACCGGTCTTCTTCTGTTTCGTTAGAGGTGGATTTGCGCTGTGAGCAAAAAAACGCTCGAGGCTCTCGACCGAACACTGCAAGATGTGCGTGTAAACAGCAGACCATTTGGAGACATTACTGCTACTGCTTGCAGGAGACTTCGGGCAAACACTGCCTGTAATTCCTCCATCGGCAACAGCAGACGAAATAAATGCGTCTGGAATAGTTTCCTCTGTGGCGCCATATCCAGACGGTAAAAGCATGCCTGCCCAGCTGCAAAACCACCGATCAGCTGAGGTATTCTCATCGTAATTGCTGGCAACTGGGAATGCAACGGTGTCCACTGATCCCACTACAAGAAGGATTTCCCTACGTCTTAGCCTCGGCAATTTAGTGTCCTCAAAAGAGGAGTTGGTTGAAAAGGTGTTCCCCACTATTCAGACCACTTTCAACAATCACGGCTGATTGAGCGAGCGAGCTATTCTTGCGACCAAAAACAAACACGTGTACCATCATTACCATATTATTACGTCTAAGATTCAAAGCGAGGCAGTCCCATACACGTCCGTCGATACTGTTGCAGAAGCAGACGACGCAGGCTAATTATCCAACTGAGATTTTGAATACACCTGAGCCACAGCAACGCGTGGCCGGGCCCGGCTAGTTTCCTATAAACCTATTCACTAGAGATTAATTGTAGTATACCAACCTTTATATGTGCAAGGTATGTCTTATTTGGGTGTTGCAATTTTGATTTCAAAGTTTGGACCTCCAAACAATTTTTCTTTTCCGAGGATTCGGTGTATGTTTGAATGTGTGCCCCCAAAACGGGCGACGTGGTAGGTGCGTTGGATCAACACGGGGGTCACATCAGATTCTGGCAGGCGTTGTCTTACGCAATAGCAAATGTCAAGAGCTAGGGGGTGCGCTGGCAGACCCCCTTGTCGGCAGCCATCGCAAAAAATGCGACTACTACCGCCCCCCCCCAAAGATTTGTCGGTAAAAATCCTGGTTATAAGTTGTGCGGACCAGGGGGTGTGGTGGAACGTCAAGGTGTGGGTACGGCCGTGCCATTCACCGGCGGCCTCCCTTATCACCTACCACCTGTTTGTCGAGAATAAGAATAACCCTTGCTAGGTACCGAACCGTTCTTCTCTATATAAAAGTCTCACTGGACTGATACGTGGATATACCAGTCATCTAGCGAAAGTGTGATAATAATAGTTTTCCTAACTGCGTCGTATGTAGACTATCCCACTTGCAGTAAAAAGGCATCAAGAAATTGTAATTAATTCCCAAATAATTTCAACTCCCTACCAAAGTTTTCACGGTGCGCAGCGTTTGTTCGTCTGCCCGCCGATTTACGATCACGTAAGAGTTTGCCAATTCTAATAATGGTAGAATTAAGCTTAAACTTCCACGGTATCAAGGCAAACTAGGTTAGTAACTTTTAAGTAAGCCCTCAACAGAAAAGGCGAAACAACTACAAACATGTTCGCATGACCGTGCAGCAGACGCTAACTCGGCAGATACAATTTCAAGTCGTGCTGTGGCGTCCGGTATTGGGGGATCAGTCGAGTTCTTGATATTTTGAACTGTTTTATGAGCCGGGTTTCGCTCCAGATATACTTGCCTCCCCTGCAGCAAACGTTACGTTTGCTCATTCCACGCGTTTCAAGCACAGTGTGATTTGGAATAAAATAGCCCGAGATTGAGAGTAATTAAGTTTATTGGCGAAAAAGTAAATGGGCGAAATAAAATGATGAACTTGAGAAGAAAGCAGGCGTGTCTGAATTTCGAAGTCATGGGAACGTCCAACAGCTACTATGACGACGCGGTTTCTAAAACAGTAAATCCCCACGAATGGAAGAGAATATGCGCATCCCAGGTTCTTGTTTAAAAGAAGACGAAGGCACGATCACTGGGAGAGCAGATTTATTTGCCTGAGCTTTCGAACTCGAACTGGAGTCCATCATCAGAGACTGCTTGAGTGCAGCAACTTGTGAAAATTTATATGGCTGTTGCTTGCGGGGAGGGCGGGGGGGGGCAGTACTTCCGTGGCTAGGTAAGGTTTGTGCCGCCTGGTCCACGATGTTCCCCCGGCGTGGTGACGCCGTTTGTACATCGCGACGGTGTGAACTGCGCCACCTGGCTGCGTGGGCGGAGCGTATGATAACACACAGGCAAATCGATGTGTCTGTTGATAGGGTTGGTGACCGACACTCACGCCTCCAACAGTTCTCGCACTGTCTTGTTGCCGGCTCGCGCCAATATCCGCGTGTTGGCGAAGTCGAACTCATGGCCTTCCTCCAGCGTGTGAGTGCCGACTTAAGATAATGGCAAATAAATCTGTCCCAGTGATCGTGCCTTCGTCTTCTTTTAAACAGTAAATTCCGTTTAGAATTGTACGTGGCTTAAAACAAAGGGAAAAGGGACCCGACCCAGCCTTTGATTGTTGCGCAATGCAGCATTTAAATCAACAACCTAGACGTTAACCTGTCGCGCTCCTTCAGTAGGTTAGCAACCATTTCTGTGGGCTTCCATATAAAACTTATGAGTGAGTACTTGTTGATAAAATCAAAAATTTCGCATTTAATTCATGACGTTTCATTAAAATGTACGCAGGTTCGCACGTGTAAGCTCACACAAAAGATGATTCCACCTAGTTAATTTAACTTTGCGCGCAGACAGTAATACACGTTATCTTTTTTTATAAGAAATCAAGACGTTTTCCAGAAAAAATAATTGCTCTTTATTGTTTCTGGGTCTTCTTTGCTTTGAATGTTTGCATATGACTGCTAATTATTGTTCACGATCATTTATTGCGCTGCTTTCTCAACAGTCGCTGATTTCTGCACCTTTTTGACGATTCTGGATATATGTACCAGGGACCTCCGCTTTTCAAATATCATCAGTCGACCGAATAGTCAGTCGGCCCACCTGGGGCTACGAACCTAACTTGTCATCCGGCGGCAGGTTGAAACTAGAAGCGTGTCACACACGCCATACTCCAAGTGCACATTGTCATTCCTCCCTGGTAACCCTTTTTTCTTGTTTTTATGCTTTAGGTCTGCCCAACCGACCATAACTCCAACAAGTATCCGACAGTATCCTCATTCCACCCCTCTGCACATCGTGTGTTTCTTTATCGATAGACAATAAACTCTCCTCATCTCTTCCCACGTTCTACGGTAGTGTGTGTGTGTTGAGAACCATTTGGTACCATCTTACCTGGAGTATCACAAATTTGGTGGCAGCGATGTCCGGATCGAAAGCTCCCGTCCGGGAACCCACGCCAACTCCTGGTTCACCCCCGAAAATCTCAACGGCGTGCCCTCCTTCGCCCTTCGCCCCTCTTGAAACCTGTTCGTACCTTACCCCACACTTCAAAAACATACAACACCGCCCTCGGCCAAAGCCTGGCCTATCCCCGCCACCAACACAACTGTACCCGACATCCACCACGCCAGCCTTCACTCCCCAGTCAATACTACCCCCGATCCTACGTCAAGACGACAACCTGGCCCAATGGATCTCCCTAGCAGAGCCATACTTATAGTTGGTCCCCGAAAACTTCCGGAAGACCACACTCAAATCCCTCCTCGCCCCCGAACTGGTATACAAGGTAGATGGGCTGGCTCCCTCTCCCTTCTGCGCATTCGAGGAATACTTCGGCGCCCTCAAACAAATTTTCCAGTCAGAGTCCAGCCAGGCGGCGGAACAACAGCGGTTCTTTAATAGAACCCAGCGGGACGGTGAGACCCTGCTAAATTTTTATATAGAGTTAAAACACCTCTCGTTTCGCGCCTTTCCACCTCACGGCGATGAAGAGCTCACGTTTTGTCGGATGATGTCGGGCATACGCGACCGTGAACTAGCGTTAATCTTCACCAGCCGTCCACCGGCCAACGTCAAGGAGGCTCTTGACTTGGACTCGGCTCGCCGCACCCAATTCCCCTTGGCGCAAGAACCGCAAGCCACCAGAGATCCAACTACTTGGGGTCATCCACCCAACCTCCCAGGCCGGTCCACACCCTACCACACCACTTTAAACCGACGTTTCCAACCCCCCAGGCTTCCAGGCCCGCCAAACAACAATCAGTGTTACTACTGCGACCGTTTCGGCACAGCTGCCAAGAAATGCGGACACAACTCAGGTAACCAGCCTTTCCTCTAGCCGCTTTATACACCCTCCCCTCTAATTTTAAGCCATTGACAATCTCGGGCACAGTGGCCAATAGGAGAGTCAGTATCCTTATAGACACGGGCGCAGCCGTCTCCCTGATTCACGGTAGCCTCCTCCATGGAACAAACTACATTCAGTCGGCATTCCCTCAGTTACAGATTCTCACCGCCAACAGTTCCACCCTCCAGCTTAGCG